TACCTTTTACATGTGCGGTCGGTGTCAGCGGGCGCCACTCCTGTATGTACGTATGCATGGTCGCAGTTTCACGCGGGATGCTAGTTGTTTTCATTTATTAACTGGTTGGAAGTTGCCCATTGTACATTCAACGAAACACACAACGCGCAAGCCACACCCTACCCCACCTTGCACAGCACGAAAAAACTACCAGTATGTACTGCTGCGTACGTACTGGTATCCGTAGAGGAAGCCCGAAACGAAAGCGGGAGACAACTGATACCGTATGTACCGGTACCTCAGACGGAAACGACGTTGTTGTTGTCGTCAAGCCAGAGCCGAACTCGCATCAAACATAAGACCACTCGCTGCACGGAAAGCGTACCAGCCTACGTTGCTGTTACCGGTGTGCTTCCAACCAGCGACGGTGCCTCACGTGGTTCTATGCTGATATCAATACTGTAGTACAGATAAATAGATGGCACCGGTGTGCGTGCGTACAACACCTGTGTGTATTTCATCGGAGATCGCACCGGTCGGAGAGATCGCACCGGGGTGCCTTGAAAATACTATAAACGGACTGACTTAAATTGCATTTCCGCACCGGGGTCGGAGAGATGGCACAGGGGTGTGATAAAAAAAAACGAGGAAAAAACATAAAAAAACGATCGCACCCGGTGCCATCTCTCCGACTATTACGGTACTCTGCTCTCCAACCCCCGGTGTGAATCACTGACAATTGTCTCTGTTTAGAGTCGGCTGAGGTCAGAAACAGCACGCAGACAGCCTATCCGCCGCTGTTAAGGGTCTGAAGACAAGGAATTCCGGTGTTGACTAATTTTGAAAACAAACGCAAGAGCACCAGAAAATGCACAAGAGACAAAACAAGACCAGTCGGAAGGCATCGCGAAAAACAGAAATCGTTTATTCTCGCACAGGGCGGCAGTAGAGGCTGCTCAAAACTACATTTTCACGTGTCTACCTCTACACTCCTCCTTTGAAATCAAGATAAAATTCACACGATGCTACATTCAAGTCAACAGTCAAAATGGAAGGCGCTCAAATAAGGTCAGCCTTGAGGGTTAGGTGGTGCATTCTATTGTCATCAGTAGAGGACATCGTGTGAAGAGGTGTTGTGCGTGCTGGCACGTTCAGGTTTGCTACTGGAGCTGAAATATCGAAGGTCGCAGCAGCCAACAGTCCGAAATCTGCGGCATCAAACATTTGTCACAGCCGTGCTCGCCGCCACTGACACCAATCCCTTGAACTGTGGGTTTACAACAGTAGCTGATGCTACTGCTGACACCCTCCGTTCAGGGGTTTACGGTCCGTGGCGGTGAGCACGGCTGTGACCAATGTTGGATGCCCGCTTGGTTCCGGCGCAGATTTCTGACTGATTTCAAAGGCTGCTGCGACCTTCGATATTTCAGCTCCAGTAGCAAACCTGAACGTGTCAGCACGCACGACGCCTCTTCATGGTGTCTTCTAATGATGACAGTAGAATGCACCACCTAACCCTGGCGAGAAGGTTGTTTTATTTCTTTGTATAGGATTGAAGGATGGGAAAGAGCCAGTGTCAAAAGCCCTTGTCTCTGGACCCCCATGCGCATGATGCGTACAAGTGAACCCTCCAGACTACTGCTGCTTGCTCTGTTGTATTATCAGGACCGCCGTTGTATGTAGTCTACGAATACACTTGAGATTGACTAGATCAACCAACAACACACCGTGAGTATGCCCAGGAACACATCGTCGTGCGCGTGTCAATACAAAGCTCACCCCCAGGGAGGTCAGTGTAAGGGTTGAACCGCTAACTCACCCGCCCCCGAACAGCTTCCCCCCTGGGCTGCACATCAGGCAACGCCAGCAACAGCAATCGAACCCGCTCCCTGCTTGCGAGCCCCGCCAGCGATGGCTGTCCAATCGGGGACCAGTGAAGCAGACACGAAGGCACGTGCTGCTGTTGACGATGATACACCCACGCGGCAAAGCCGACCAGCGGGATGACTTCTAGTGTGAATGTCTGTCGCCAAAAACGGGATTGATTCACGGCACCCCCAAGAGTGTTTTCCTTTCCGCCGATGCCCCCCCTGAGTGCGGCGGGATTACAGGTCCACACGTGCCTTTGCTGCTGTTCAGCCTGTCGCACTTGCTGCGCGCCACGCCTCCTCTCCCCGACCCCACGAGAGTCACCCACCATGCCATCCACAGAGGCTTACCGACCGGGCCTCCTCTCCTCGCTACTACTCGGCACAGGATCGCCAGCAGCAATACCAGGCGCTAAGGACACACAGGCAAGGGTTGAGGATGCTGATGCTGTGAGTGGCACCGCAGAGCCGACGAGCACCAAGAAGAAGAAGAAGAGCAAGAAGAAAAGCCAGAGCACCGCTGGAAAGGATGCATCCTCGTCCCCTGCTGCTGATTCTGGTGTCGACAAGGGGGAGTCGGCAGGGGATGCGGGGGCGCTGCCGTCTGCTGCGGATGAGGGTGTGGTGGCAGGCCTAGCGTCCCTGTTCTCTCCCACCAACCTCGAGAAGTTCAAGCGCCGGGAGAGGGCCGACAAGGAGGCAGACGCTGCAGAGGTACATAGATATGTACAGTATGCTCCATATTGTTTGTGTCCCACGAACAACGGCTGTGCTTGCTGCTGTTAACATCGCCACTGCTGTGTGGTAAAACAAAGTTCCAGCAGTGTGGACGGAGCCTCTTCCTTCATGATCCAACCATGCTGCTGTTTGAATTTTGGTCACAACAGTAGGTGGTCGCGGAACAATCAGCCCCGCGGCACTAACCAACTACTCCGTATCTCGTAGGGCCTGTTACCCGCAGGGGAGATATCACTGCTGTATGCTGCCCCCGAGAATCGTAGAAACGCATGATAGATCCCACTGACTCGATGGATCCATCGCTCTATCCCAGACTCGGAGAAATCAAGCTTTGCAAGCCGACTCAGGGGGTATGGTATCTTGCGTCACCAACGGTACCTCGCAAACCAGTACCGCACGGCATGCCCCCCCCACAGCTCTGGACATGCACGTCTATGCCATCAGCAACAAGCTACAGTAGCAAGGAACAATAGCTTAAACTGAACGATTTGTTCTTCTGTTTTTTTAACGCCCGTCATTCACTCCCCTTGTCAAGGTTGCTCGAATCACCAAGGAAGCGCGGGCAAGGGAGCGGAGGGAGGAGGAGGAGGCAGCCAACTCTGGCAAGAAGAAGAACAAGAAGGCCAAGAAGAGAGAAGAGGAAGAGCAGGAAAACAGGTGATTCCTTGCCTACGGTTCCCGCGACAACAACGTACGAGTAGGGCTGTGTCTGAGAGTTCTGAGTACTCTAACCCAGATTTTCTATAATCAAGACGCTCTGCTTGAACAGATTTGGCAGAAATCCAGCTATCACCGACTTTGATTGGCCTTTCACCATGCAGCTTTTGGTACAGCAGTATTTTTTTTTAATATATGGTACGTATCGACGTGGACGCTGCCGGGAGATATTTTCATCTTCTCAGAGTGGCACAGTCGCATGATTGCAAGACACGTCTCTCACTCAGGAAAGTGTAGCGAACTCCATCCCCCACCGCCCCGCCGCCCGGAAATTGATTTTCCATGTGAACCGAAAGGCGGAAGCTGGAAGCGGAGAAGCGGTTACAGATCGCGGCGAAACGGACGGCCGCGCTCGCCGCCGCCGCTGAAGCCGTCCGAGCGGGCGGTTCAGCGAAAAAGGTGAACCAGTCGGCATCTGAGGAACTAGAGGAGGACGAGGAAGAGGAGGACGAGGAAGAGGAGGACCAGGAAGAGGAGAAGGGGGAGGAAGAGGAGGACCAGGAAGAGGAAGAGGAGGAAGAAGAAGAGGAGGAGGAGGAGAGGGATTCTGACAGCGAACCGGAGAGCGTGATCGCTGGTCAGGGCGGGGATAGCTCCGACGAGGACATGGACGATATCGACGAGGGAGAGGAGAAGGTAGGAGCCGGCCATGCGGTATTCCATGTATTTTTTGTCGGGTGAGGATGTTGTCGGCTGGTTTCATGTCGAGGAAGGTGGTGTTTCGTTGGCGTTCACGGCGATGCTTTTGGCGGGCCTTCATTATTTCGGGGGGAGACGGCGTTGGACGACAAGTCGACTAGCCAATCGGCGTGTAAGGCGGCACTGGTACGACAAGTTGAAGCCAATCAGTGTTGTTGTAGCCGGCACTTGGTCGAACAGAGGAGGAGGTCACGCTTCGAGACACCCGAGAGAGATTCGCGAAAAGGCCAAACCAACTCACCCCGGTGTCTTGCCCCGTTCTCAACCTGGCCTAGACCTATCGTGGCGCGACGCCAACCCATCACTGACGGTGTCCACCTACGGTACCGTCTATTGACGTTGCCACTCCCCCCCCCCCCCCCCGCTATCCCTTTCAGCAGCCTTCGCGAGGACGTTGAGCTTAGTTCTAGTAGGGGGTACGGGGTTAGGGTTAGGGATGGGGATACGAAACCCCTCTCTCTATTTCATAGATATAACCCTCGCTATGGCGGCCCATCCCTTTCCCACCTGTTGTTGCCGACCCCTGCTCGAAAACGCCTCGCCATGATGCAAAGGGCAACGACGAGGACAACAACGGTGTCACAAAGGCAGCTGGCCGGGGTAAGGCCGAAGCGGAGGCGGGCGACACCGCGAAGGCGTCCGCGCCCAAAGAGGAGGGGGGTAACAACAACAAGGACGACGAGGAGAAAGAATCGCGGACGGTGTTCGTGGGGAACTTGCCGACGAGCTTCACGCCCAAGAAGGTCAAGGCCGCCTTCAAGGAGTACGGCGCGGTGGAGTCGGTCCGGCTTCGCTCGGTCGCGGTGCAGGGGATGGCGGTGGACAAGGCCGGGGATCAGGTACGGCTGTGTGTCCCCGCGTGGCGACGCCAACAACTCACATGTCCTGTTGTTCCAAGAGAAAATGCTTTCCGTGGAAAAAACAACCGATGCGGGTTTTCCACGGTTCGGTACATGTTTTTTTCCGTAATCGCTAGTTTTTTTCCCGTCTTCTGGCGGGTTTTCGAGAGCGCCGCAAGCTTGTGGTGTGGTTTGGTGCCACCACCCTCGGCGCGCTCACGTTGTGTGCGTCGTGGTCACGTCTCGGCACCAACAATAACTGCTCGATTCGCATGGTTTGTTGTTCGGGCTCTCTGCTGTGTTGCACGGTGGCACTATTCTTTCGCAGCAACTGGTGAGGAAGGTGTGCGTAAACAGGGGCATGGTGGACGAGGAGGTGAAGAGCAGCGTCAACGCCTACGTGGTTTACAAGGACTGTGCTAGCGTGGAGAAGGTGGGCTGCTGTAGTCTTTGTCGCGTTGGCGGTGGTGGTGGTGGTGGTGTGCCGTAGTTTGCTGCGGATCGCATAGTGCAGTGGATACCCTGCCGGACACGATCGAGGTGTCCGACACCCAACACCTGCTTGACCCTTGCGGGTTGGTCCGGTGTGCTCTATGTGGAGCACCCATTCCCCTCAATAACAATCATGGGCACGTCTAAAGCGTCCGTTGCGTCTAACATGGCTGGGAAGCGTCGGTTGCGAGTACATATACGCAGAAGGGGGGCCTTGCAGTTGCGCTCGGTTGTTCTTAACGACAGTTGCCTTGCCGCTGCCGTCCGTCCAGGCCCTGGCTGCCAACGGCACGGACGTGGGGGGCAAGCACGTCCGCGTGGACAGGGCCAAGAGCGGCGAGTACGACCACACTCGCTCGGTCTTCCTCGGTAACCTTCCCATGGACGCAGGGGAGGAGGAGGTGAGGCAGCAGCAGCAGCGTGTATTCACATCCCACAGTTTTGGGGCCGTATTTTCGCGTTCAGCTGTGACGACGACGGTTTCCGGTGGGACCGGTACGGAAGAGGAAGATACCGTAGGTTGCGGAAGATACCGCACACCCTGGACCGTTTTTCGAAGCTGCGATAAGTCCATGGCGAAAAGGATACCAAAACCAAACGTGATGCGTTTTCGGAAAGATCTCGACCGGACGGTTCCCGTGCGGCCATTTTCGGCACCGTCACTGTTGTTGCCGCAGAGTAAGTGGAGCTTTGAAAGGTCGGTCCAGGGGTTGTGGTATCTTAGGAAAACCTACGGTAACCTCAGTCCCCACCAAGCACCTCAAGAAGGTTCGCCACAATCGAGAAACCCGAAATGTACGCTGATCCAAGAACATCTACACGGGTACAGCGGGGAAATTCCAAAAATTCCTTGAACACGCATGCAAGCGTTTTGTCTTCGTTTGGATCGGTATTTTGAGGTAGGTAGCCATGGGATGGTGCGTTGCCGTGTTTTTTTGGAGTTGTGAGACGTAGGGTATGAGGTGATGGCATGGGTTGGGGAGGTGTTGCGAGTCATGTTCCCTTCTGTTCAGCGCGCGGCGATTGCGTCTGGTTTGTGTTGGATTCTTGGTGCATGGTGGGCGTGCAAGCCGATAGGAAGGCTTTAATTCAACGGGAACAAAGGAAAGCAGCAACAACCTGCATCATCTGTGGTCAGATTGGTTCCACACAGCCCCCGGCGATTGTATCGAACAGGATCAAATCACATATCAGCAGCATGTTGAAAGAACCCTGATTTTCCTCCAAAATAAAACGCGCCGCGTGTGCATACAACCAAAATCACATACCTACAACAAACCGCTGATTTTTCCCCCAATAAATACTCATCACGTGCGCATCCCGACGTAGGTTCGAGAATTGTTTGCGTCGAAGCTGGAGGGCGGGCCAAAGTCGGTGGAAGGGGTGAGGCTGGTTCGAGACAAGGCCACGTTGGTCGGGAAGGGCTTCGGATACGTCCTGCTTGCCGACAGGGCCCTGGCTGCTGCGGTGCGTCCTGCGTACCTTCGATAAACTCAATAAAAAGCCCTTGATGATAATAGGATGCACAAGAATTCTGCTCTGCTTTGGTTCGCTGCGGTATGTATGTACTACATCCGGGTGATGTTCACATTATTGCTTTTTTGATAGATGCACTAACTGTTTTCTCTCCTTAGGTTTGCTGCGGTGGGTGCTACACAGGGGTGAGTTTTTTGCGATATGTCCAACGTTTCCCCCTCTTGGTTGCATTGCACATGGCGGAGATTTTGTTACGTTTCGTGTTGGTCGCTGTCCTGGAGAGGTTAGGGCCCAACGCTATGGTGTCCTTTGCGCTGAAATTGAATTTGGGATAGTGGGGTTCGCGTGCTACTTCTTCTCCCTCTCTCTCCGTCAGGGGCGAGAGGGGTAAGCTAGACAGGCTGTTTTCCACTGCAGAAAAATAAGCGTGGAGACGAGACCGTACACGCTTCTGACATACGTATACGAAGCCCCAAGCGTTGGGTGTCGGCCCGCGCCGGGGACACGCGTTTTAGTGTGCCCCACTCGTGTGTACTGTTCGGCCTTGGAGTGATTCCAATCTTGTCATGAACTAGCCAATCGACTTCCATGCGGCTAGTTGTTGGTAGTACAAGCAGCCTCCCTGTTTCTTGTCGTAAATATGGTTGAGTTCACCTCTCTGTAGACGCCTTTTGACATGGGTCTCCTCTCTCCCTCTTGTCTCTTTCCCCTCTGCTCTCTCTTTCTCTCTCTCTATCCCCCTCCCTCCCCCCTTTTTCTCGCCGCATGAATGCGAGAGAGCAGGCGTTAGCCCTCCAGGGTACGAAACTCAAAGGCCGGCCCCTTCGCGTGATGCCGTGCGGCAAGAGGACCAAGGGGAGGGGCGGGGTCGCGAAGCCCGGGCTAGAGGCGAGTGCAACCAGCCTTCCAAACGAACGACCGTGTTTGTGTGTGTGTGTGTTTTCTGGTTGCGCTATTATAGTGAACCGGGCTCTCGCATGCCACGCAATCAGCGTAGGCGGCATGCGGTTCGGCAGGGGTGGCATATTCTGGTTGATGTCGGTCGGGCTCTTGCGCTTGTTCGTGAGCGGGGTTCTCGCATGACACGGAAAACGAAGCACGGGGCATGTCGTCGGCGGGGAGAGGGTTGTGTCTCGATCAATACGGTAGCCCTCCCGAGGAATTTAAGTTTGGTTTTTGTAGGGGGTTAGGGTTACGGTTGGGGTTAGAGATACGAAACCCCCCTCTCTGTCTCGTCGATTATTAGTACTTCCTCGCCTCGGCGGTCCATCTCGATGGGAGCAGGGCCAGGTCACCCCCGCCCCCGCATGCACCAAGGCTTGGTTGGTTATGTTTTCGCGATGTGATGGGAACGGGTGTCGTCTTTCGTAGCGAAATGCGGTAGGGATGTTGAGCACGTACTCATGTTCGCGTGAAAAGCGGATGGTGTTTGCCACGGCACGAATGGACGAAAGTCGTTTTTCTAACCTGGCTGGGGTGTGTGGGTAGGAAATGGGGAAGCCATGCCCTGGATGATCATCAGCACAGCGCATGACAGCCGATCTTACAAGTTCGAGGGAGAGATAAGAGAGAGAGAGAGAGAGAGAGCAATGGCAGTTTTCCTTGTACCGTTTCCCACCTTTTGCCGACAGGGCGATCTCGGTGTCGAACGACTAAAAAATGTTGCTTTTTCAGTTAACCAGGACCAACATTTAACGCACCCTCCCCCCCCCCTGCGCGCACGCCGTACTGCTGCAATACGGCAGGACCACAAGTTCGCGAGCTTCGAAGGTAGGAGGACGACCGACGTCGGGGTGTTGCGCCGCCTGAAGCGCAAGCAGCAGGAGGGAGGCCGGGGGGGGGAGGCGGGCAAGACCAGCACCGCCGACAGCGGCAGGGACGGTGGGCGGGGTCGGGGTGGAAGGGGCGGCCGCGGCGGCGGCGGCGGCGGCGGCGGTAGCAGCGAGAGTGATGGCAACGGCAAGGCATTCAAGAAGCCCCGTTGGACCACGGAGGATGGCGTTCGCGCGGGGAAGGCGGCCGGAGGGCGGGCTACCGCGCCGATCCCGACGCCGGGAGGGAGGGGTCCCGGAGGGCGCGACTCGGCGGGTAGGGGTAGGGGGGGTAACCATAGATGTCGCCACACGAAAATAGGTGGAGGATATCTCAAAGGCATATCAGGAGGAGAAAGGAAGAGAACCAGCATAGGCTATGAAATTCTTGTTGAGCCTTCACTGCTACTACTTGATGAGCCAACTTCAGGTCTTGATTCCACCTCAGCAAACAAACTTCTTCTCACTCTTCAAGGACTAGCGAAGGTATCAGAAACTAAATTTAACTCTCATTTTGATAACATTTTTGAACATATGCTGAAAAATACTTTTGAATTTCCCTTAGGCTGGAAGAACTATAATCACAACAATTCACCAGCCATCCAGCAGAATCTTTAACATGTTTGACAAACTTCTTCTGATATCAGAAGGCTCTCCTGTTTATTATGGGAAGGCTAGAGACACAGCAGAGTACTTTTCATCCTTGAGGTTCGTCCCGGAAATACCAATGAATCC